AATCACAGCAACATCACTCTTGCATATTTAAGGGAGTGACATCACACTACAGAAAAATCAACAACAACAGCAACAAAACAAAAACAACAAAAAAGGAAGTGCAGCTATACCAGCACAAAGCTACCATGCTCATGGAGCTGTGCACACGGGCATGAAACTGCCCACATCTTGCTTAATGAAAAAGGCAGCGTATCAAAGCATTGACTCATCTCCACGGCACACAGATTTTGGGGAGAAAACACCACGTTTGAATATATTCTGAAAAGGCTAAACCTTCCACCTTCCTGCAGAGCAAAGTCACTATAAATCTTATTTGCAAGCATGTGAGAAACGCTTTACAACTCAATGCGTCATTTGTCAGCCCGGAGGGAGCCGCGAGCCAGTGGTCTCCACGCTCACTGCGGCGATGGATAAATCACACCAGCGAGACGTCGCCTAATCCCTTCCACGTGACGCGGCTGGGCACTCTCGCATCTGCTTCGCGTTACTGAGAAGAGTCCCGCTGGTCTCCTGGGCTCTGGGGCTCTCTCTCTCTCGGGCTGCCAGGGGACCTCACTCACCATGCTGCTGCTTCTAAAGTCGCTTTAAACTCTGCCTTGTATAAAACACACATTGAGTTTATGATCTGCATCTTTCACCGGCAAGAATACTTTGCGTTGCCAGCGCTTCTCTGCCTTTTAGCTAACATGGTTAGTGTCGCTTCCAGAGTGGCAACCACGGTGGAGGAGCTGCCCTCGTGTTCCTTCCCTCCTTCTACTGCCATTGAGGGGCTGCACTAACATGTGCCACCTTCTATCAATAACACATCATCAATCACCTTAACCATATGCCGGAGGCATCGTACGGTGGAGGTTATATGTCATGGACTGTAGGAAGTGCTCACCGTGTGCCTGGAACTACTCGGAAGGCTTTAACCAAAGCATCCTCATGTGTCTACAAGGTGGGTGCACCACCTCATCCCCATTTTACAGCAGAGGAAACTGAGGCAGGTGATAAGACATGGACCCAAGCTTCACATCCCAACCATGTGGTCCCCACCCACTTGTAGAATGAGCAAAAATATGAACACCAAAGAAAACAGGAACTCACAGAGGAATGAGAATCATAACTAGAAAGAACTTTTGGATAAGCCGATTTTGTGTTCCATTTGCACGAGTGGAAGCCACTAGAAACTTGGACAGAGACAGGGCAGGCGGTGTCTGCAGAGACAAGAGCCTCAGGCCTGGCAGCCCATGTGGCCTGGACCATGCTCAATGGGGTGTCACACGGTCACCTCAGTGGAGAACCGGAGCCAGCCGCGTCCCAGGAGGCCCCTTCCTGGCGTCTTTGCCTCCGGGCAGGTGCCGTGACCCGGAAGGGGCTGGGGACTCACGCGAGCAGGTCAGAGTGCAGACGCAAGACCACCCCCAACACCTGACCACAGCTCCCACTGGTCACTGAGCTGGGCCAGCCTGGCCCCGGCTTCCCCGATGCTGGGGCTTCCCTGCAGGGCTAAGTGGCTGACACTCGGGCAGGACCAACATCCCAGTGCGCTGCATCTGGAGCCACCCCCTTCACTGCCCCTCCCTCTTCCTTTAGTACCGGAAGTTTTACTGTGGCCCAACCTGGGTGATTCAAAGACAAAAATGCAAACATTTGTGCATTCACTGCTGTGCCACAGAGCGCAGGGCCCTAAGACCTGCCCCGCTACCGGTTCCTTCCACGAGCTGCCCCCCGACACACAAGGGAATTCCTGCCCAGAACTATATTCTAATTGGGCTCATTTTCCTCTGTACCACGTGTGTATGCTTCAACAAACAATGTGTTTTGATTCTTTAAGGCTTTTTTAGATCTCTATGTGTGGAACCATACCATATACCTTCCCTTGTAACTTTCTTCACACTCAGTATTAGAGAACAGTCCATATTGATGCACAGATAGAGGCAGACACCAGCAGTTTATTTTTATCTGCTGTATAGTATTCTAGTGGGGACTAGAGCAAATGTATTTATCCATTCTCCTGTTGATGAGCATTTGGATTATTTCTTTTCTTTTTTCTTTTTTTTTTTTTTTTTTGCTTCAAGGTCCTCAAATTTATTAGGCCACACCAAACTGATACCAAAAGCCAATTTGTGGTCTACCAGCATGGAGAACCCATTGTGCCACATGAAAACAGAAAACACACTAAATAAACAAAAATCTGCTCTTTCTATTTGTAAGTGAATTGCCATAAATGTTGTACTAAGTAAATCAAAAACGTTTATATTCCATAGTAATCAGCTTGTTCCCTTACTTTTATTGTTTCCAGCCCCTTCAATATATATAAGGTAAAAGCCACTGCTTCTGGAACGAACAGATCATTGTAAATTCCACAGTGCATTTTCTTCCAATGAGAATGATCCTCTCTTCCTGGACAGCCGGGGCCACGCATATGGAGGACACACAGCCTCAGGGGCATCACTCATCACTCGCCTGCAACGTCCGGCCACTGCTTTGGAGACTCGGGGCCTTTGCAGGTGACAAAACCACCCCAGCAGCAAGGAGGTGGAGAATCCCCCACTGTCCGCGTGAGCACGTCGGGCAGAACCGCTCCTGAGCCTGGAGCACTCTCCCTCCCGGAGGTCAGCCGTGGTCCCAGGCCTGAGCCACCAATACGGGGCCACGTACAGCATCACCAGATAAACTCCCAAACTGTGCTTTTTAAGGCAACAGTGAAAGAGAGTTTGTTCTCTTAACTTTGTTGTTAAAAACACCAATGTCATACACAAAACACACAAAAAAGGCCAGGAATAATAACTCAAATTCCAACAGGCAGAATCTGGACAGGGTTATTCTAAAAGACACAAACAGCGTTAATGTAATTTCCTCTGCCTCAGGGCCAGGACCAGCGACTGCTAACAGCAACTTTATACGACCAGTTCGACTCTCCAAAACACACAAGCAGTTGGAGTTGAAATTTATTTTCAAAAAAACTCTCAGTTACCATTCCTCAAAATTATCCTTCACTTCATATTTATGTCAACCGGTACGAAGATAACAAGATAAATCAGAGCTGAAAACATAGCTCGTTTCTGAGATCAAATACAGAATATTTCCCCCTAAATCACATTTCAGACTATATTCCTCAGGTTTGTGTAAGATAGAGATTTATAAGTGAACTTTTAAAAATCTGCAGTATTTTGTTGACTTCAGTGGTTCATTCTGGTTAGGAAAATAATGCCCATAAAGTAAATGTCAGCTGCTGATCCTCATACTCTGAGCTATAGAAAATACTTCTTTACCCCCATCCCTTTGAGCGTCTATTTGTATCCTGCATCTTAAACATCAACAGACCATAAAAGGAAAAAAGATCCCTCCCCATCTTCTGTGTATATACTTACTGCATATAATCCAGGTATTTCTGGAAAAAAAAATCACAAGCGAGCTCCCACTTACTTACACTTCCACAGGCACAACTGTCACGTGCAAATAAAATAGCACATGAAAATCAAATTACTGTGTCCCCATTAGGCCTTGCTTGTATGTCCCTGGGCAAAGTTCAGACTCTCCACGACCGGAGTCACCCTGATTCCTGAAACTCCAGGGACATCCACGAAGTGCAAAGGCTGCATTTAAACTCTATCATTAATCCCATTTCCAAAGAAGTCAAATGTGTTCGAAGGTGTGTCGTAGGTGGTCTGTAACACTTTCCCCAATGTATTGCTTTAAAATGTGTGCGTGTATGTGTGAGTGTGTGTGTGTGTGTGTGTGTGTGTGTGTGAAATACGTGTGGCATTCTGGAGGACATTTTATATTTTAGCCAAAGCAGTAGATTTTTCAAAACCATAACTCTTTCAATTATAAGCCTCTTTCTATTTTCAATATGTTTTAGGCAAGAAATATCAATTAGTAGAAACAAACTAGGCAATTTAGGACGAAGGAATGTACATGGGGAGAGTGAAGAGCAGCCATACAGCTGGGTATCTCGTGACTTACATAGGGCTAAGTAGGGGCAGGGCTGGCTCAGGGGCTGGCTCACACATTTGAGGCCGTGGGTTCAGTCCTCAGCACCACAAAAGCACAGATAGGACCGGTGTGGACAGCCTTTGTGGGTAAACGAGCTCAATCTCCCATGTTTTCCACAGCCTTTGTGTCAAGTATATTTTCCTCCCTGTGATGGGAACAAATGTGTATACAAACAAGTGGGCGGGGCTCCTCCTGGGGACTTGCTCTGACCCTTGACCCACCACCTCCTCTGCCCTCCAGCCCAGGGAAGGGTGTGCAGGGAGCAGTCCAGCAAGGTGACAAACTCCTAAAGGGTCAGCATGCGGCCACAAAATAACTACTGCATGGGTGTGGTGACAAGTCTCTGTAATCCCAGCACTCTGAGAGGCTGATACAGGCAGTTGGTAAATTCAAACCCAGCCTGGGCACCTTAAGGACTTCGCAAGGTGCTGTCTACATAGTTAAAAATAAAAAAGGACCGGGAATGTAGCTCAGTGTGAAGGCCTTGGGTTCAACCCCCAGCACCACACACACACACACACACACACACACACACACACACACAAATTAAATGCTGGACATCCAGCCACTTGCCCACCTTCTGGTCTCTTCCGGGGTAACCCTGACAAGTGTGAAGAAGAAAGAATTAAGAGAAAGATGGCAGACTCAGAGGTCAGTAAACCATAAAGATCCAGACAGCAAAAGTTGTCAGCCTGTAGGACACGCGGTCCTGGTGGCAGCCACTCAAGCTGCCCTGATGGAGTGGGAGCAGCCCTGGGTGACTCAGGAACGGCCAGCAGGCTGCGCTCCACAACTGTCTTCCTGGACACGGAACGGCGTGTGTCACACGATTTGCCTGGGCCACAAAATACTCCTTGGCTTCTTTTCAACCATGTAAAACTGTGAAACTCATTTGCTCAGCTAAGAAACAGGGGGTGGCTGGGTTTGGTCACCGCCTTAGCTGACACGGGTGTAGTCATCCACAAGACGCGGCCCGGGAGGAGGCCAGCGCTGCTCCCAGCCAAGAGGGACCGTACCTTGATATGCGCTGCAGGGTCCGGGACAGTCTGACTCATGTCCTTCAGTGAGCCGGCCCATCTACCAGCCGTGCAGAGCCCGGGACGGCTAGAAGACAAAATGGAGCAACAACACAATCAATAACAGGCAGCCCCACTTCCGGGTCTCCGGCCCAGCAGGACTCCACATGACGCGTCAGTAGTAAAAGATTCGCGGTTTTGCACTAAAGATGCTCTGCCCCAAAGCATCCTTCTGGTGCCCGTGGTACACGCAGTGTCTAGAGACCTCACTTCTGCGGCACTGGAGAAATCTCTCACTTGTACCCCCTCAGAATGTGCGTCTGAGAAACACAGAGGAAACTGCCCAGTCCTTGTCCCCAGATGGTCCCCACTAGGGACAGCAGCAGTAACTCCTAGCGACCTCTAAGACAGGAGGGTAACTGTGGTTGACAGCATTTAGAATAGCGAAAAAGGGGATTTTGAGTGTTCCTAACCTAAGGAAATGATGAATGAGGCGACAGATATGCCAATTACCTTGATCTGGCCTCTACAGGTCATATACATGCATTGAAATGTCTCGCTATAGCCCATAAGTATGTACAGTTATCACATGGCCACTGGACAAATATACATGCTTTTTCGTGGTACTGGGGATTTGACCTAGGGCCTTCATGCTGAGCTATACTCTAGCTCTTTTTATTTTGTATTTTGATACAGGGTATCCAAATTATCCAAGTTGGGCTCAAACTTCCAGTTCTCCTGCTTCAGCCTCCCCAGTATTTGGGGTTAAACATGTATCATTTTTTAAAAGATGGCCCTCACCCCACGCAGTTCACATCCAGCATTTTACACGGGCAGCATCTATGACCCTTAAAATGGAGAAACAAAACTAAGAAGGGGGGGCACTTTCTATTACACTAAGAAGACCAAGACAATGTAATACAAGATTCTATCATATTTAGAAGTCCCCACCAACATAATTTCACCCAGGCCGCCCCTCTGTGCTTCTTTCCCAAGACGTTCACGACAGGCACAGCCACCAGCGCACCACGCGCTCCGGGCCAGCCCTGGGCAGTGGGCTGCAAATGCACACACTCATTTAATCCCAACCCACTGTCCAGATGGTGGGGAGCATCAGGCAGGGGACTGATCTGCCCAGGGTCACCTAGTTAACAAGTGATAGACCAGGATACAGGTCAGACCAACCTCTCTTACTCCAAGGCCCACGAGAAAGGTGAGACTCACTTAATTAACAAGTACAGGTGCATATTTTGAAGACAGATTTTGGGGGGTGTTGAGACACAGTGTTGCTATGCAGTTCAGGCTGGCCTTGAACTCACTGTGTAGCCCAGGCTGGCCTTGAACTCACGGTAATCTCCTGCCTCAGCCTCTTGAGTGCTAGAATAGCAGGCATGCACCATGCCTGGCTGAAGATACATTTTTAAACATGTCCTAAATGAATGAAACTTAAAGGTGCCCCACTAGAAGGGTTTTCCAGAAGTAAATGGTTCCTCCCACAGAACTCATAGTCAGATGGTAAAGAGTATTCTCCTCACCCCCGTGTCCCTCCCATTCAAGAACCCCATCTTCCCCACTGGGTGCTTCTCTGCCTCCTGGCCACCTGCCCAGTCTGGTCGGTGTGACCCCACCTGGAGGCCATGGGTATTCGTGCCCTCCCTCCACATTCCCTCCAGTCCCTGCTGCCCAGGGCTCCTCAGTGGCTGGCCATGGTGCTGGCCACAGCTGGACCCTCTGGTGACCTCTCCTGTCCCAGGGTCCCTCCTCCTGGGCTTCAGGCTCCCGTGAGCCTTCCCCACCCAGTCTTAGAAGCTCTGCAGGCCTCAGCCAGCAGCGGTTTGCTGGTGCTAAAAATATCTTTCCTAGTCACATTTTTAGGTGCCGTGGCTTATTTTGTGTCACTATCATTTTTTCTCCTTCTCTGTAAATCTGGCCTATGCCTCCTAACAGTAATAAATCTCAAAATAAAAATAAACAATACCCTTACAGAACCAGAGACACAAAAGGCCACCTTTCAAATCTACAGGGAGCTCATTATCCCTGGGGTGTGCCAAAGCATTCAGAGGAGTCCTAAGTATGCTTGGCTTCCGCCTGGCCCTCCTGACTCTGTCTTGGTAGAAACCTTTCCACTCTGCGCCCTCCAGGCAGGCCTGCTCCCCGCCCATCCACCAGAAGGCTCCTGGCCCGGGTCTCCCAAGATGGCGTGCCGGGCTGGCCAAGAAGATGACATACTCGCAAGCTCAGGCCATTATTACTTTTTTTCTTACCCACAGCCAAATTTCTTGGTCTTGGAAAGCATGCAGTTTTTTTCATGAGGTCTAAAGCAAATTGTTGGGGGCAAATAACAGTTACTAAAAAATGCAAAAGGAATGCAACACTGTCTGGAGCTGCACTGGGCAGCAGCTGACCATGGCCCAGGCTCCCGCGGGCTGAGGGGAAAGAGATGCTCAGACCCAGGGAGGACAAGGTGTGGCTGACGGTGTCCAGGACCGGGACCCCCCTCACAGGAATCCTCCCCTGCCCCTGACAGTGCTTCAGGGCAGCAGTGCCCAAGGTCACTCAGCCTAGGAGGAGCTTCCTGCACCTGCCCCAGTGACTCCACACTCAGGAACATACGTGTGTCTCCACGGCACCTCGGGGTGGCTCACCCCACCCAGCTCCCCCCTGCACTCCCCACCAAGGCTTCAGGTTGGTCCCCTTCCCTTAGCCCAGCTGACCCATGATTACCTTCAACCTGGAGCTTGCAGCGAAGGGACCTCAGGAGTGTCCCTGCCCCAGTGGAACTGGGGGCTTCCCCTTCCTGCTCCTTGGCCTCAGTCCCTACATCTCAGGCAGCCCAGCAATGTGGCAGAGGCTGGGGACCCGGCCGCACCAGGCCACCATGTGCCGGGCCTTGAGGGCACCCTCTTGGGTGCTCCAGGGGTCCTCTCTCAGGGGCCAGAGACCCCAGTCCACACCGGGAAGCAGAGCCATCCAGGAACTCACCAGCCCACAGAACCGTGACAAGTAAATGGTTATAATTCAAGCTACTGGGTTTTGGAGTAGTTTCTTGAGCAGGCAGATGATGGAATCCCTCCACAGGTGTTGTAGGCACATGGAAACTTTCTGTTTTAGGGTCACCCTAGGCAGAGCTCAGAGATGGCTCAAGGACTCCCCTTCTTCCTGGACCTGCCCCGCTCTCCGAAGACCTTGTGGTTCCTCCCACCAAAGAGGCCGAAGTTCTTCCCCAGCCCTTGTGCTGTTGTCTCTGCGTCCCACTGCAGCCACCAGGATGCAGCAGAGGCTGGAGGGCTGACTCCTGGCCCAAGCCCGGGGGCGAGGGGCCACAGAGCATCTCTACAGGCGGTCTTGTGACTTCCTGCTGCCATGCAACACAGACAGCAAAGGGCACGTGGGGCCAAACAGAGTGACTTTAGTCACCAGCCAAGACCGCTCTAAATCACCTCATGGACAACCAAAGCTCTTGACAGAGGGAGGTGGCCAGACCAGGACTGCCCCATGATGAGCCCCTGCAGGGCCAGCCCAGGCCCGCGGGCTACACATGCGCTTCCGGTTTAGGCTCCTGAGTTTAGGGGAGTTCATTACATCACATTTCTGTGACAACAATTACTGATCTGTCTGGACGCTATGTCCTGCATAACTAAGTTACCAAGATCTCCTGTAAAGCTTTTCCAGATCAGAGAAGACACGAAGCAGAATTTTAAAGGAAATTTAACTCCACCCCAACACATGCATGTATTATTCCATTCAGCTGATCTGAAAGATCAGCAAGGAATCTGCAGAGCCCTTCCTAGGAGCAAGTGAATTCTCACTTGGCAGGACGGGGCCCAGACAGCCTGCCAGGACTCTGGCTACACTGAAATGGATAAACCAACACAACATTGTGGATATCTAGGATCACCGAAACCCATAGAGGTACAACACCCACTCCGTCTGTTACCAGCCAAGATCTCAACCCAGTAAACGATGGTTTGTGTCCCTGTCTCTTCCAGGGAGGTGAAGGTTACCTTCAATGTATCAAGGATAAAATCACAGAGGATAGGGAGGCTGAGTGCAACACAGTCATGCTCCTCAAGAAATCAAGATGGGGAAATAATTTATATAGGCACAGAAGTGCCAGATGAAGAAGAATGGAGGAAGGAGACAGTTGCTTCTCACAGAGACACAAAAGTGTCACCAAGGAGCTTAGTGCACAGAGGCATGTGGCCAGGAAGGCAGGGAAACAAGAAATGATGTTCCCAGGTCCCCCACATTGCAGACGAAGAATGTCGGGTCGCCACTATCAGCAGCACCATCAACCAGAGATGCATGAAGTGTTTAGTGTGAATGGCGTGATCATTCGCCAAGTCCTCAGCAAATAGCATGGACCAGAAGATCCACAGAATGGGAGATCTTTCCTCCCCCCGTGCCACCCAGCTACAACATCAGTTGTCTTAATCTCTGCTGAGACAAAACACCTAACACCCAGAGTTGAAGGAGGAAAATTGTAGCTCACAATTTGTAGAGGTTTCAGCTCATAGTTGGCTGGCTTGGAGGCAGGGTGGACGGCAGAGGGACATCACAGAGAGAAACAGTCCATGGCAAGAAGAAGGGAGCAAGCAGCAAAGTAGCTAGGCAACAAGTGCTAACAGCAGCCCTCTTTCTGTCCTTTATAGTCTATCCAAGCTGCCTGCCCTTAGGGTGGGTAGCACACACACCCATTACCAAGGCTTGGATTGTCATTTCTCCTCTCCCTCAATTCACAGCTTACAGTCTCAGCTACCAGTTTCTCAGGGTATGATGACACTAGGAGACAGAATAATTGTAGAAATGATCAGAGAAATCTAAAGCCCCTAATCCAGTATGACTGGCATCCTTATGAAAAGGGGAAATTCGGAGATAAACTTGGATAGAAGAAAGATGATGTGAAGACTCAGAGAGAAAATGGACATCTACAAGCTCAGGAGAGAGAGACCTAGAACAGATTCTCTCTCAGAGCCCTTGGAAGGAATCAACCTTGCAGAGTCCTTCATCTTAGACCTCCAGCTTCTGGCACTGTGAGGCAAGGCATTTCTGTTATTTAACCTGCCCAGTCTCTTGTGCTTTGTTACAGTAGTGTTAAGAGACTCACACACTTCCAGAGAGGGACTTGCTGAGTTATTTTAACACACGAAGCTTAGAAGCCCCTGGTGGAGATGTAGCCTCAGGATGCACACTCATGATCTCTGCACTATTTCTTCCTAGACACTGACCCTGTCCACAGCACATCCCAGCGTGGTGTTCTGTCATCCCACCTCGTAGATTGTCTTAATTTTGGCAAAGATGAGACTCTTCAGCTCTGCAGCCTTCAGGAGTGTTATGTGGGCCCCACCATCACCTTCCCCACTCTAGAACACTTTTCTGAGAGAAATCTAACTTCCTGGGGAGCTGGGGGAAGGCTTTGGAGGTAAGGGCTGGCATTCTCCAGGGTGACTTTGGTCCTGTCCTTTATTTTGAGGGTCTGGTTAGTGAATACCGAGACCAGTTCTCTGCGTGTTCTCTGGAAGTAATAATGTTTCCATTGCCTTTGGGTAAAATAACTATAAAATGGCTATACTCTAAAGTTAGTAGCAACACAGAAAAATAGCAATACTGTGACAGCACGGGTCTGCAGACATTGCTCCTGGCCTGCTGGTTCTTCTGAAGAGGCAACAGGGAGAAGCAGCATGCAGGAGAAATAGGTGCTGTGGGTGGTACAGGGCTGTAAGCAACAATTCTGAAGTCTCCACCGTGGGTGGCGGGAGAGAGGGACCTCTTACTCCAGAGACGGTCAAAGGTGTCCCATGGAGCCAACATAATTCCTCAAAGCACAGCCAAAGACCCAAGAAAAGGCCACTGAAGGTTTGAGGCCACAGGTACCAAATATTAAATACATAGAATCTTCACACATATGCACTTTTTAAAGAACTCTTAAGTAGGAGGTTACACGATTAGTCAGATTTTCTTTGTTGTACAAAACGGCTGAGGCAGGTGACTTTATAAAGAAAAGAGATTCAGGTTGGGCTACAGCTTCAGAAGCTAGAAGGCCAAACTACATGGCGTAGTCCCCAGTGAGTCTCAGTATCTCATCGCAGCAGCAGTGTTCTGTATGTCAGCCCGTCTGGTCCCTCATCCTCCCTTACAAAACCACCTGATGCAGTCATGAGGCTCTACCTCAGTGGCCCACTTTAACTGCTTCTCTTTTCAGAAGTCCCACCAGCAAGCACTACAGTCAGATTAAGTTTCCACCCTCTTTAATACCATTAAATGAGTCATGGGGGATTGGGCCGCATGAATTCCAAGGTATAAAACCATACTGAACCCCTACCAGAGGGACAGGACTTTTTGGGTCTTACAAACTCTACCTTTAGTTGCCCTGGGCCCCACCATCTTCTCCCTCTGTGAGTCATTGGCCTTGTGCTTGATCGACACCGCTCTTCATGGGTCACCAAAGACCTCGGATAACCTGAAAAAGAATGTGATATAATCATCTTTCTTTGTTCCCAAAGATGAAGAGTGAGGATTAACTGTACGTTTAGTAACCAAACTTATTTCTTAAAACATTATTGTGAAATATTCTAGACAGGGAAAGAACTTGAAAAACCCTTCCCTTCTAAGAAAGGTGAGGAGGACATTCCAGTCCTCTGAGGGAAACTGAGCATGCTGCAGCAAAAGTCTGACCCGAGCTGGCATTCTGAAGCACACATATACTTTTGCAAAGAAAATATTCTAAAAATGTTTCCCTTTCCTCAAGGCCCCAGCTTTAGTAATAATGGTTTCCCCAGATCATTCCTGTAGGACTTTGTTCAAAACAGAGCAGTGAGGTTTATAAAACATGCCAAGGATGATAATTAAACAATTACTAGTCTAAGGAAAGGAACAACCTTTTAAATTTGTAAAAGCTAGTAGGATTGATGTCTTTTAAAGATCAGAACACTACCAAACTAAAATGAAAGTGAGTTATACTTAGAAAACGTATATACACAAATTGGCAATTCCATCTCTTCTTTCTTCCTTCTTTTTCTTTTTTGAGATAATGAGAATTTTTGTACTTAAACAACTTTCCAAGTAAAATAGCCAACTCCTAACTTTTACATTGAGCATAATCTTTATGAGGTGGCAAAGTGCAAATGTCACCTGCTTCAAGGCAAAATATTTTCAGCTAGAAAATGGCTTACAAATTGCATCAAAATCAGTATTTGCCATGAGCAAAATTGTTTATGAATTATTTCTCCCATTCCACCCAGAAATCTCCACCTGAAGTCTTCTGACCTGTGAGCAATGATATTTAATCTAAAATGTCCAAATGTCACAGCCAAGCATTTGTTGCAATATTAAAAAAAAACACAACATGGGGGGAGATCAGGATGCAAAGCTGCATGCATAATATGATCCTAATATTACAAAAAAAAAAAAAGAGTAAATGAAAGAAAGAAGAAACAAAGGAAGAAGGACAGCCTGAAGGAGGTACACTGAAATCCTATCAGACGTGTCTTTGGATTTCTACTGAGAAATTATGAAATATTGTTATTTTCTCCTTTTTAAAATCTTTTTTACAATTTATTTATTTTTAAATTTACAAATGAAAACTATTTGTCTTTATATATATTTGTCACATACAACATGGTATTTTGGAACACACATGCATGGTGTGACAGCTAATTCTGGTTAGTTAACACATGCATTACCTCACTTACTACTTATTTTTTGTGGTAAGAACCTTTTACACCTAGTGTGCGTGGTTTTCAGGAACACAGCGCACTGATCCTCATTGGAGTCACTCTGGTGGACAAAAATTCTCTTGAACTTACTCCTTCTATCAGAAATGTTGTGTCCTTTGAGCAGCATCTCCCCAGGGCCTCTCCACACTCCACATCACTATCAAGGAAATGGAAGTGAAACCACAGTGAGATGCCAGCCCTCCTGTCAGAACAGCTGTTAACAAGGAGACAAAGGTAACAAGTCCTGGCAAGGATGTGGAGAAAAGGGAAGGCTTGTGCACCACTGGTGGTACACCATGATGGAAATCAATATGGAGGTTCCTCAAGAAATTAAAAGTAGAATGAGCACATGATACAGAAATTCACCCACGAGATATGAAACCAAAGAAAATGAAATCAGTGCACTGGAGAGAGATGTCTGCTTTCCCATGCCCACTGCGGTATCATTCACAGTAACCAAGCTGTGCAGATGACCAACATGTCCATCAAGGGATGAATGGACAAAGAGAATGTGGCTCATAAACACAGCATAATACGATTCAGCCTTTTACAAGAAGGAAATTCTGTCCTTTGTGACAACACGGATAAACCTGGTGAATGTTACGCTGAGTGAAATAAGCCAGACACAGAAAGACGGATACCAGACTCACTTGCAGAATCTAGCAGAGTTGAGCCCTTATTTTCTGCTTTATGGTTTTGTGTGTCTTCCAAATTTTCAAAACCCAAAATACTCAACTTTATAATCAGAAAAGAAAAAAAAAAAACCTGAGGACTAATCATTTGCTAATCCTAACCATACTTTTGGAGTATGTCCTTCTAACACCAGCCACGTGGAAGAGGGCTAGTCCTTTGTGTCTCGTGATGAGGCACTCCACAGGGAAGGGAGAGTGACGGTGAGTTCTACTGTGCTGCATGAGGATCCTCAGCCAATGGAGGTGTTTCCAAATTTCTTTTGCTCTAAATTCAAAACCCAATACTGATTATTGCTTAGTTCATTACTGCTTTCCACAGACGAGTGGTTAAATCAGTATTCAGTTTCCAATCGTTCCAAAGGGAATAAGACTTTTCAAAGCCTGGGCTGAGATTCCCTACACTCTGCTCTCCTATGGTAGATCTCTGTGCCAAACCCCTGCTGGCCTGAGAGAACAGCTTGATTTATGGTGGAGACATGGTTGGCCCTGATTTAAAGACCAGAGGGAAGCTCAAGGAGGATTCTATTAAATATATGCAATGGGTATGGTTAAATTAGCATTACAGCACTATTAATATTTCATTTATCCTGAGGGCATTTATCTGACAACATAAATTAGCCATAACACAGCAGAGAAGGCACAAAGGCTCCAAAGAGCTGTGATGTCACGGAACCTGGGGGAAGGAGCTTTGCCAGGGGAGGGCACGCTACCAGCCGCGTGAGGTCACAGCTGGCCTAACGAAAGCAATGCCGTCAGAAAATGCTGCAAGCCAGGCTCAGGAGCTCAACAGTCACAGACCCTGGAGAAGACTGGGCTGAGCAAACTGCTCAGCCCAGCCTCACACGCCTGGCCCAGCAACTGCCGAGAGCAGAGGCGGAAGGGTCTCAGGACCTGTGTGGGGATCCTAGGCTCTGTTATGGGAAAGGGGGACATGGGACATACCCCTGCGGTTCACTTAGGTCGAAATCTCCTGTTCTGAAAGGTAGAGGAGTGGATATGATTGTCAGAGAATCCCCACCGGAAATGCTCTGAGCACCGGAAGGGCCAGAGCAGTCTGCCAGGCAGGCGTGGTGTGGCAGAAATGATCTGAGCGTGGAGGCCCGCGCGCATGGCAATCCACCAAGCAGCTGCTGGAGCTTCTCTCGGCCTGTATGCCCATCTAGGGTATGAGTGAGAGGGACTCACTCACGGAGCTGTGGTACAAGCCCGATGAGACTGTGCTCATGATGCTGGCATGGGACTCAGGAATAAACGACCTCTGTTCCCCAAAAGTGCTGCGCAGAAGAGCCACTCCTGATGCACACGTTCCGTAAGTAGTGAATGCTGCATCCATGGAGGACAGCTGCTGGGAAGACAGCTACAAGGCATCCATGAGCAATGCACCCAGCCCCTCGCTGAGCAGCATCAGCCTGGCAAGAAGGCTCCACATCCACCAGCAATGCCAGGGACAGAGGGACACGGCCGATCTCTGAGGTCACGGTGAACATAGATATGGAGACGCCAGTTTTTCGTTTATGATACCACATCCATGGCAAAGGCAGCAGATACCACTGGCTGCTCCTGCCCCTTTACAGAAGGCACCCCAGTGTTGCTTGGACAAGGAGCTCACTCCATAGGACCTACCCAGGAATAGTGACCCCCACCCTTGGGTGAATCCCATCACTGGGCACCCATGCCCCCTGCACTGACCAGAGAATGGATACGTGATATGATTCTGGCCAATTTAACACTGCAGGGGTGGGTGAGAGGGTTTCTAAGGTCAGGTAAGATCATTCCTGTCCGTGTGACACTTGGAACTATGACACTATCTAAGGACCGTGACAGGAGACAACATAAGGACAAAACCAGCACGCTGTGGCCATCCTGGGAAAGACGAGGGAAAACCCCTAGGTTTCTGTTAGGACAGGAGATCAGAGCTGAGCAACCATTAGGACGCTTCACCTCAGGGCTGCTTGTCCTGTTGAGTGTTTTGTCCCTTTACCTGAACCAGGGTGGTGGTTGTTCCTGGTAGCACAAGTACCCTAGGTGCTACCGAGTCACTGCTCAAGAGTCACCATCTGCATCCTTAACACAGACAAGCTGAATCTGTGCTTTGGTTCAAATTTAAAAATAAAATGATCTGCTGGAAATTAGCTCAGCCTATTAATCTCCCAACTTAGAACACTCTATTCCAGATTTAGGGAACAGAGAGCTCTTACCAAGAGAAGTGACCTGTCTCAATCCATCCTTGTCCTGAGTGGCCACGTACTAGAGGTGACATGAGATGTACCCACAGTAAAAAAAAAAAAGGCATGAGGCAGGTAGGCCTGAGTTGAATAACGGATCAGAGACAGAATGTGGTCAGGGATGTGGATGGCACCGCAGAGGCAGTTCTCCCTCCCAACAGCATGGACACTGGTGCTCTGCACAGTGGTTATGTGATGGGTTTGTGTCTCAGTACATGGGGATGAAGAGCAGTCCCTGAAAGAGACAGGGACAGAAGAGCAAGAGCAAGGAGGTGACAGGGTGCTCAGGAGAGGCGTGCTGTAGAGAGAGGCTTTCATCCTAGGAGCTCAGAGACGTGGTGTGATTTGTCCCTATAATTAGGAGTTCTACTTTCATTTGTCTCCTTCAAGGATCTAAACTCAACCCACCCCTCACGTTCACTCACTCAGTTGTCCATCCATCTGTCCATCCATCATCCATCCATCCAACCAACACACACCTACAAACCCCTCCGTGTCAGTCACTAAGCTCAGCACTGGGGGGCTGGGGATATGCCCAGGACTTCAGAGTCACCTAGGAGGCAGAGGTGTGAAGACACTGGCATGGAACCAGCTCCCCACTGCCTTGCCTGGCATCTGTGCCAGGGCACAGGCTGGCTCAGTGTCAGAGTCACTTGCAAAGTTTTTGAAAACAGACACCACACCCTGCCTCCTCCTTTAGCAGGAGCCCTGGAGGGGAGGGACCCAAAATTCTCTCTGTGGGACTGAAGGAACAAGATGGAGGACAGCACCCAGACTTCCTGACACACAGAAGGGGAAGAGAAGGAGCCAAGGACGCAGCAGGAACAG